AGGAATGTAAGTGAAATGGATCCGCTCCTTCATCTTGATGCTTTCCTTGGGAATTAGCGTATGTGTTTTCCTTTGCCTTAGGCTGCTCTGTATGTTGCATCCTTGATATACACAGCTGGTTTTCTTGTTCCTGTTTTTGTATCACCATTCCCTTTATTGTGTCACTTTCTGTACTGTAACCCCTGTAGCCCCGGCATCATAGAATTCCTATCCTGCAGGCCTGTCTACTGGGAGGGACATAATGGTCCCAGAAATGACAGGTTCCACCTGACGGGCTACATCTCAGCTGTTCATTTTTTTCCTCTGGGGTAACCTCTTTTCCTTTTCTTGTAATCCCAGACGGTCGCTGTTGTGCAGAAAGTGTTTCTTTCTTCAGGCTCCAGCAGAACTGGGGACAGCGTGGGCTGAGGCTGGACTTGGATTTTTTTTGTTGGCAGGTTCTGTGCCCGAAAAGACCAGCCAGAAGCTCTCCAAGAGGACTTCTCACATGGGGTGGTCAAACCAGTGATCTGTCCGGCAGGACATTACTGCCTCTCAGGAACAAAAGCTGCTAACCAGTACCCGTGCCCCGAGGGGACCTTCAGTAACCAGACTGGCTTGAGAAATCCCAGGGAGTGTAGGCCTTGTCCCGGAGGCACGTTTTGTGCCACTGCAGGTAGGGGTTACGTATGGGTTAGATGCACTGCTTAGGCTATGTTGTGTCTAGGAGAGTCAAAGTTCTAGAAGATGGAGACAACTGAGCTTGAGACGACCTGAGAGAGGATACGTATCTTTAAAAGTAACAACCTGATTAGCTCTTTGAGCTGCAATTTCTGTTTGAACATTGAGGTGCTTCCTTTTGTTTGTTCCCTGGTTTATATTGCCATGTTCCATTAAACAAGAGCTGCGCACCTACTCCCAATAGTTAACGTTGCACTGACGGCTGAAACGTTCCTCTCTATGCAGTTCATAGGACTCTTAGGTGGTGTTTGCAGTGGCCTCTGGGACCTTTTGAGAAGAAGTGCCTCACAGTCATTAGGAAGATGTTTGCGAACTTGTCCTTTTGTAAGTTTAATGTAAGAGGCAGATTTAAGAGTGCTTTTGTTTTGGCAAGGGTTATGAAACCCGAAGGCAAGCTGCGTGGGTTCTAGGACTTGTCCGTTCTCAGCTCTCTGTTAGTGGAGAGAGAGATGTGTGGCCCTGCTCAGGCCTTTCTGTAAAGGTGACGTAGAAAGCTGCTCAGGCTCTTAGCTATGGGTAATCAGTTGTCTAAATAAATATGGAGACTATAGATCTAACTTTTAAATGCCAGAGCTAATCACAGGCCAGTAGACTCTGAACTCCTCATGGCTTGCCTGGCTTGTTTAATCGAGAAGCTGTGGAATATAGAAGGCATTGGCTTATTTGTCTTTATTTTCCTTCTCCTTAGGACTCTTGACCCCAAGTGGTCCTTGTTTGCCTGGGTATTACTGCACTTTGAAGGCACGCCTACCCAATCCTGTTAACGATGAGACTGGTGACCTCTGCCCGGCAGGTCACTTCTGCCCGCCAGGTAGCAGCAAGCCAGAGCTGTGTCCCGCTGGCACGTTTTTACCTCAGTCTGGGATGGTTTTCCGTAATGCCTGTCTACCCTGCCCTGGAGGGAAGTTCTGCCAAGGAGAGGGCCTGGCCAGTGTTTCTGGTGAGTACCGCACGCGTCTCAGAGTGAGACGTGCTTGCAGTGCTGGTTTCCCATGGTCTCACCAGTCTTGAGAGCTACGTTTGGTACGATCCGCTCTGAATCATACTTGAAATTGTGTGACTTCGTTCAGTAAACGTGTGGGGAGTTGCAAACCCAGTGTTCTCTAGTTGCTTAACCCTAATGCTGAAGCTTCTCTGTTTTGCAGGCACGTGTTATGCTGGGTATTTCTGTGATGTTGGATCCACAGAGCCAAACCGTAAGCACTGCCCCCCTGGCTCCTACTGCCCCGAAGGCTCTGAATCCCCAGTCCCATGCAGCCCTGGAAGCTTCAACTCTGACAGTGGAAAATGGCAGTCAACGGACTGTCAGCTCTGCCCAGCTGGATACTTCTGCAGTGGTGAGTCAGCTGATGTATTTGGGAACTGGGGGTTACACGATGTCAAGTGAGTGAAGATAGACGCTCACCCCAGCTTAAGTTCTTGCAAGCTCCTCCACAGCGGGAACAAACTCCTTAAGTGCAGCATATTTTCTTTGGTCGCTGACGGGCAGGTAGGGCATGCGCTCAGTGTAAATGCCCCGAGCCGTTTGTCTTCCAGCACTCCTGCTGGGTTCTCCCCAGCAGTCTCCGGTCACCCAGAACAGTTTTTGCTATTACAGCACTGTCTTCCCTGGCTCAGCCTCCCCTTCTAGATGACTGATGTGCCGTCATCTTCTTGGGGAGGCAAAACAGCCTGGCAAACGGGTGCTTGGTACTGGCTAGCAGCCAGGGTCTCTGCTCTGAGGCAGCTGCTCCTGCTCAAAGCTTGCTCCCTGTACAAGACGTTTGTTTGCTCCCCCCAGCGCTGGAATATCTGAGGGCACACTGGCCGTAATGGATTCATCCCGCCTTTTCCAGGATATAAAGAGGCTTTTCTTTTCTCAGGTGGGGAACTGAAGCAACAGGAGGGAAGAAGTGACTTGACTGGGTTTACATAAGTTTATAGCAGAGCCGGGACCTGAACTCGGACGTGAACTCCAAAATCAGAGCTGAGCGCTTTAGCAGGAAGGCCATGTTCCACGCAGGGATATAACTCAGGACTGACTTTCCTGCTTGGTAGCCTTTCTGAAATGTTCAGATTTGCTAGATTATCTGGCAAAGGAAACGGAAAGGCTTTGCTTTCCCTGTTGCAGTGTTGAGCAAAACCCCTTCTGAAGGACCGTGTTCTGTTAGCTATTACTGCCCACCTGGCCAGACTTCAGCTACTCCCATTCTTTATCCCTGTCCATGAGGCTTTTACTGCCTCACAGGATCTGCCTCTCCTATGCCCTGTAAGAATGAGACCTGTCCATCACAGGAAAGGAAGGACGTGTGACTCCTGCCCAGCAGGACTCTTCTGTGAACAGCCTAACAAAAGTGAGGAGGCTGGGTGTTTTGATAACAAGGCATTCTACGTCACTGAGGACTTGAGTCTTCCTGTTAGACTTAGTGGGACGAAAAGGCCTTTGAATGCTGAAGCATCCTTCCGTCCATTAAGGTTCTACTAAGTGTTACAGGGTTGGTCTGGACCGGCGAGCGCATCCGTTTCTGCCAAGAGGAAAAGGCAAAACAGGTTGCTAAGAATACGACATTGTAGTTGAACGGGTGGGCCAAAGTCAAATCTATCTTTCTCCCCTCTGGGAGAAGGAAACTCTGTGCCCAGGGAAATACAGCAACATAGTAGCAATGCGGCTATTCCTGTATGGCACCTCATGAATACAACAAACACTCGGCAAACTTCCCTTGCAAGAAACGTGACTACACAGGCATGATTGTACCCACCTAGGTGGGATTAGTCTCGCCAAACTTTAGACAGCTCCTTTGGTAGGCATCTACATCTGAGCTGGTTGTCTGAACTCCCTCTGTAGTCAGTGGAGAGGAGGAGTCACTTTTGAGGTGCAGTTTATCCTTCTTATTTTAGAAGTCTGCCTGAGGATGAGATGAATTGCACTGGAAGTGCCGTTCTTCTGGAAGCGCTGTTTCTCTCCAGTTACTACGAAGGGAATCTGAATAACTAGATCAGAAGTACACGTGATGAATCCCTTGACCTGGGTCTAGCTGAACTCGTACACGAGGAAGGCTATGCTGACAGAGAATGACCTTGCCGGTTGTTTCCTATATATCTCCAGTCTCAGATGCTATTCTTTGTATTCTAGGTTCTGGAGCACATACTCCTGAGTTGTGCCCTGCTGGGTACTTTTGTCTGCCGGGGACCAACTTCAGTACGGAGCATCCGTGTCCAAGAGGTACCTTTGGCACCAGGGCGGGTGCCACCAGTGAGTCTGACTGTGAACCCTGCCCAGCAGGTAAGTAGGGGCTTGTCGCAAGAAACCCAGGGGGCATACGTGGGAAGGTTGCGGTAAATTAACTTCTTCCTTCATGTTATTGACTGAGATTGCTTTTCTGTTCGTTTTAGGCACGTATTGCTCGGCACCAGGTCTATCGCAGCCTTCTGGATTTTGCCGTTCAGGTTATCATTGCACCAAGGGAGCCATCAGCCCAGCCCCCTTCAAACACAGGGTGAGTGAGTGCCAGGCAGCCGCACGGCAACCTTAGCGACCTAGAGACAAGAACTGGAGCTGTTACAGCATCGTAGCTTCTGGTGTAACGTTTTCCAAGTGTCGTTGCTATGTCTGGGGTTGCCTCTGCCCCATTATTGCTGCCCTTGAGAGCTCCTCAGATCTGCTGACGTGCTACTTTTACATCTACTGGAACGTGTTTCTGACTGCTAACTAATTCCGGCTAGGTCTCCATTTACGTAGATTGCACTGGAGCGTGCTACCTCACATGGCTTCCAAAGGATGGCAGCAGTGGTCAAGTGGCCATGCCTCGACAGCCAACATTGCCAGTTCATTTTTGAGGGCAGCTGTGCCTCTTCAGTTAGTTTCAGTGGCAGCAGGCATGGAGGACTTGGCTCATGTGTGCCCTTTCTATCACCTGTCTCTCTCCGTAGCAGTAGGTGCCAAATCCTGTTTCCATAACGTTTTTTCTTACTTTCTTCCGTTTATTTTTCTCATACAGGTGGAATCTGCTGTCTTTGGTCTGCCTGGGAACAACATCTGTCCTGTGGGGCATTTCTGCCCCGCTGGAACAGGGTATCCCATCCCCTGTCCTCCTGGATCCTTCTCTGCTTCCCTGGGCCTGGAGGCAGAGGAACAGTGCCAGCCCTGCCCAGCTGGGCGATACTGCAGCGGGGCAGGACTGTCCAATCTGGCGCAGACATCGCTGTGTAACGCAGGGTACAGTGAGCGGCTTGCCTCTCGTTACTGGGAAAATATGACTGGCTAGACTTCTACAGCAGTATAGCAGAGCAGTATCCAAACTCTAAAAGACACTTGGCCAGAATATCTCGTGCCCAGTGCCTTGTGTGTGAATATTTATACGCAGGACAAACTGCAAAGACTTTGTTCTCGGCCCTTCAGGTCAGCTGTAGTGTGTCTGCTTGGTGCTCTCAGTAGATGGTTCAGAACCATTCCCTTTACCTCTTTGTTTGCCTCACGTTCTTTCCTAGTCTTACACATATATTTCTCTGCTGTTTTCTGCGGGGGTTTGGTTTATTACAAAGTAATTATTCAGACTTACAATCACACTTGCTGAGAGTATGACCTGGGCATCTTTTTTCCTGTCTGTGTTTTATCTCTTCTGCCACAAGGTGGTGGGATAACGAATGACAAGGGAGTATTTCGGGCCTGCATAATGCAAACAGACAGGTGCTGTTAGCAGTGTTTGTCCATCTCATGAGCATGCCTCACAGGAAGAGGCTGCAGAAGTTCGGTTTACCTCATCTGTCAAAGAGAAGCGTAGAAGTGATTTCATTGTAGCGTAAGAGGCCTTTGTGGGAAAGATTTCTGATAGCAGGTGGCTCTCGTATCTTGTAGCGAAAATCGCAATGAAATTTCCACTCCAGCTAGAAAACGAGGCTAAACTCAGGATAGAAATAAGGAGTACATTTGGAACGCGTAAGGGAACTAGCTTCTGAAACCAACTTCCTGGGTGTAAGAAGGATTTGCCACATGTTAGTCAAATTGTAGGCCTTCCTAACAATTGATTTAACCCTAGAAGGATGTTACGGCCTGGCTGCAGCCATATTGAGTAAAGTTTTCTGGCCTGAGGTATAAAGGATATTGCATGATTGTAAATGACCCTTGGCTCCCAAAACCTGTGAAGTTCTTGACCCCCAGCCGGGTACAATTTGTGCTTTGCCCAGGCTGTTTTTCAGAGTCCCTACCAAGTAGCAGCCATTCTTGCTAGTCTGTGGTTCGACCAAATAGATATTGCTTCCGTGGAAACAAGTGCTGACAGGCAGCTTTGCTGTTCTTTTGTTTAATGCTGTTCCTTTTGCTTCCAGTCATTTGCCGTAAGGGTTCTGAATTATTTCTTCTGTAGAAACTGTGCCCTTTGAATTCTTGTCTACAGCATACAGCGATCACGTGTCTCTTTCTTTTTTTTTTGTTGCTTAGCTTTTATGTACAGAGAAACTAGTTTTTATGTTTCCTCATTTTTTACTTGTTGTGAGGGTGTTGGGGGAAGTGGTAAAGAGAAGAGTCAACATAGACTAGGTGGCGTTAACGTACAGGCCTATAATAAGACTGGGGATAAAGGGAGACTAGGCAAAGACAGCAAGAGCCTGAACGTTTGGGACCCTGTGCTGTGAAGTGTTTTTAAAAAAAAAAAAAAAAAATCCTTTAAAAGACTTTTTCTTCCAGAATGAGAACACTTTCTGAACAGCTCTGGGGAGGGGGGGGAGGGAAGCCTTTTGCCTGGGTTTTTAGGTGGGCGGTTGCAGAGAGAGGAGAAGAAGAAAACCGAATGTTTTACAAAACTGAAATGAATTGCATTGTGTGAAGGACAAGCTTCCTGCTGTGCTGACCCTGGTTCTTGGTTAGTGCTTCCTGCATCTGTTCCTCTGTGAACAGGGCTGTGAGGCAATTGCTTCAGGTCTGTATTCTCTCTCCACAGGTATGTTTGTCTGGAAGGAAACTCTTCTCCTAGCCCTTCTGACAGGATTCACGGATATAGATGTCCCAGTGGCTTCTACTGTCCTGCTGGCACTGGGCTAGAGCTGCCTTGTGAGCCTGGCACGTTCAGCCCTGTGCCTGGGGCAAATGTCTGCCTTCCTTGCCCAGCTGGTATGACCTGCAGCAACGCTGCCACTGTGAAGCCGCTCCACTGCCCCAGAGGTGAGGAATTACGTGTGTGCAGCGAAGCCCCTAACTCAGGGAGGGAGGTGGGATGGATACCTGCATACCTCTTTCTGCCTGAGCCACAGCAGTGCATGACTCCAGGGAAGTGGGGTGTTTGCCATTAGTTTGAGCAAGCTCAGCGTTCCCACCTCTTCCTCCTTCCTGTTATGAGCAGTGTCTAACTCGTCTCTTTCGATGTACAGGTTACTATTGCCCTATTCGGACTGCTGCCCCACTGCCCTGCCCCGAGGGCACGCTGAACCCTGTGGAGGGGTCATTGTCCCCCGCTGCCTGCAAGCTGTGCCCAGTGGGGAGATACTGCAGGGGGGATGCTAACTGGGAGCCTGACGGTGAGTTTGGTTAATACAGGACCACCCACGACAGAGGGGTTGGAGATTTCTGGGCTGAACGAGGCAGGAAGTAGAGAAAAAATACCTCTGCGAGCAGAGATGGCAAAGGCTTTTGGAGGGCATCCTCATACCCTGTTTTTGTGCCTATCAGTCATTCCCTTTCTCTGTGTCATTCTTTTAATTTGTTCTGGATCTGCTGCCTTCTCCTGTGTTGCTTTCCTTGTCTTCCTTCTTGCTCCACATTCTTTCTGTGGCTTTTTCTCTTGCTGTGTTTTTTTTTTTTTTTTTTAACCCTTTCATCACTTTTCTTTCTGACCTCCTAAATCTGCGCTCTCTCTCCCACTTGAGCACAGAATAACTGTGTGGCTTGGCTGTGCCAAAATGCAAAGATTGGACAGGTGAAGAGAAGAAAGGCAGCACCCTTTCCACAGAAAATAAAAGCTGGGGAACAAGTTAGAGGAGTGGGAAGGTAAACAAATGTCGGAAATGAAAGGAAGTGATAGATGTCACAGATTGGCAGGGAAGAGGGGAGGCACACTAGAGGTCGGAGGCCCGGGATACCAGCAGAGGGATGAAATGGGACAAGGAGGAACTTTAGCTTCTCTTCTCTGCGTTATCCTGCCTACTTCTGAGGGTTTGGGGAAGTACCTCCATCCTTTTCACCGATCCCCGCACGATGGGCTGATGCTAGCACTCTCTCTGTTGTCGCATGGCAGGTCTGTGCCCAGCTGGCTACTACTGTGGAGGAGGAGCCACTGATGCCATTCCACATAGGACACCTGGGTTCCCGCTCAGTGGGCCCTGCCCTCTTGGGCACTATTGTCCAGAGGGCACTCATGTCCCAGTAGCCTGCCCAGTAGGCACCCTGAACAACGCCACAGGTGAGTGCGACTTCCCCAGTGGGTTTCTCCTGCGCTTTCTAGCGGTGAGGGACTTGATTACTTCTGGCCGTTGTGAGCGGGTACCCTGGCTCACTGAAAGGTGTTGGTGCTCAGCCAAGCCTAATGATGGGAACGTGTTATCGAGAGATAACACAGAGATGATGATGTTGCCATGGCTGTACTTTGGGCCTCCTCTCTCGTTGTTTACTTTTGGTTTCCTCGTCAGGTGGTACCTCCCCAGAGAGCTGTGTGCCGTGCTATCCTGGGTCTTTCTGCGCCAGTGCTGGTTTGAGTTCTCCAACGGGACCTTGTACTGAGGGGTTCTACTGCCCAGCAGACTTCAGCTCCTTCAGCCCCACAGCATTCCTCTGCCCTAAGGTACTGCTTAGTGACAGCTGGGCCGCGAGAGAAGCGGGTCTTAGCTCTGGGTAGTAGGTGTTCGTTTTTCACGGTGGCGAAGTGTCACAAAGCCTGATTCAATTATTGATTGCATCCACAGGGAACGTTGTCCCAAGCTCTGGTACTGCTGGGATTCGGCTCGCACACAGACCCTGAGTATGCCAGCAACTCCATGCAATCCTCTTTCCTTCCTCTGTCGTTGCTAGGGTCACTTCTGCCCTTTGGGAGCGGCCCACCCAATGCCCTGCCCTGCTGGAGAATACCAGCCGACCAGGGGCTCTGCGTCCTGCGTTCCGTGCCGGAGAGGATCCTACTGCCAGGAGGCAGTGGCAGGAGACCCCAAGCGCTGCCCACCTCATGCTTACTGTCCTACAGGTATGCTGAAATTGGGGTACCAGGTATGCCAGGGACTGAAACCTCGTGTGCTTTGCTGTCGTCCCAGAGCGGCACAAAGCTAGGGTGCGTCTTCCTGTAGGCTGGATGATGATGAAGTGGCAATGGGTCGATATGGCTCAGCACTGCTTTGCTCCTTTGGAATCATTTGTTACTCTTTGATATGGTTATAAAGCCTTCTCGTCGGATCACAGTGGTCTTCCTGGGAGTTCTTATTTTCTCTCCCGTCTCCCTTTCAGGCACACAGGTTCCTCACCCATGTCCAGAAGGCACCTTCACTCTTTCAAATATGACTGGTCTCTGGAACGAGAAGGAATGCTTAGCTTGCTTACCTGGTCACTACTGCAGGTCATGATTCAGTTCAGTCTGGCGTTTTTTCCTTTTTGTTTTAAGCAGTTGGCCATCCTTGTTTTTGCAGTGACAAGTGGATGCAAAGTTCCTCCTAGCTTCTTTATCGCATCTCTGCCATGCAGAGGAAGTAGATTTAAGCCCAGACGCAGCTTTCGGATGTGGAGGTGTTGATCTGTGAATTCGCAGAAGCATCTTGAAACAGTCTGATGTCATTCTCATGATACAAAGAAATGTCTGAAGCAGGTAGCGTTTGTGAAAGTGTGAAAGTAACCCAGAAACTCAAGTCCAACGGGAAGTCATACGCAATTTATTCTGAAGCAGTTTGCCCATGTTCATGGAATTTGAGCTCAGAAGCGCCTGGCTCTTTCCAAGTCATCTGTGTGTTTTTTATAAGGGGAAGAGGTGAATCTATTTTCTCTCTCGTATCTGTGTAAGAAGTTCTCATTTTTTGTCACTGACTTTGGGGATCATTGCGTTAACACACCTGCGCTGCTTCTGCACCAGACAACGTTAGCAGCAGTTCTTATATGAATTCCTACTGTTCTCTCTGCTCCAGGCATGGACGACTGGAGGGAAAGTGTGCTGCTGGGTACTTCTGCCTTGCCGGGAGCTCTCAGTCTACTCCGCAGGGCCACAGTTTTCCCTGGAGCTTCCTGTCTGAGTGCCGCTGGGGGCAGGTGTGTGCAGGGCTGTGCCCTGCAGGTAAGTGAGAATCTCAGCGATATGTGCAGTGTAGAATAGTGAGTAGCTTTTAACCAGCTGGACATTTCAAAAAGTGAGCATCTGTTACCTTGCCTAATCTGTTGTGACCCCTGCTTTGAAGTTGCCGTTGCTCAGTGGCTTCTTCTGTTTTTATATCTTCTGAAGAAAGAGATGTAGCTGGCCAAAAACGCCACCTTGAATTTGCAGTGCTAGACTGCTAGTCCAGAAAAGTCTGAAGGCTTCTCCTTTGGCTCTCTGTATGCACGCCATCCCAACAGCTGTGCTGGTGTTCATCCTACAACAAAAGGAGACTCTTGCTGAGTCGTATTTGCCATCAGAGGGCTCGTGTGTTTTACTTTTTCTGTCTCTTCCCGCATCCTTTTCTGTAGGTTTCTATTGCCAGGAGGGCTCTGAGGTGCCCGTACCATGTCCTGCCAATACCATTAGAAACATCCCAGGGGCAAAGCAGAGAGAAGACTGCCTGCCCTGTCCGCCAGGCCACTGGTGCAAAGCAGGTTGGGACTGTGTGGGGAATGGTGAGGACAGGGTATGGGAGCTGTTTTTCAGGGGTGTAGTGCACGACCCTGGCTCTGGTCAGACTGGCTCCGGTATCGAATGTTGCAGTGTGGAACGGTTCTTGCAGTAGGACGCGTTGCCTCTACTGGTGATTACCAGAGTCTGCGGAGAAAAGAGTCGCGTTAAAGCTCTTCGTACGATACGCTTGCATAACAAAGTTTGGAAACGTAGGAGAGCTTGAGAATAAAGCCAGCCTCCAAATATCCCTGTGTCGCGTCTGTCAGAAGTGAGGCTTGGACTGTGAAGGTGGCTTGCACCCCTATTTATGGTAGCTTCGGAAGGACCCAGGGAGGAGGCAGAAGAAAGGGGTGCCAGTCACAGTGCAGAGACCCCTCATGACAGCCCTGTTTTCTGTTTCTTAGGGGATTCAGAGGCCTATCCATGTCCCTCAGGACACTATTGCTTTGGAGGCAATGATACTGATCACGGCAGTCTCCTGGCACCTCAGAAATGCCCTCCACACACTTACCACAAGTACCCAGGAGCTCGGAGCCTGGCAGATTGCCAGCCGTGCCCTCCAGGCTATCTTTGCCCTTTATCAGGTAAGCAGCGTCAGGTGAAAGCCTGACTCTTGCCACCCCTGGAGTTGATAACAGACCTCCCCAAGATTAATTGTCAGACTGTGAGATGGGAAAAGGGAGAGGTAATTTATGTTCAGGGTGAGCTAAGAGCCCTTCTGTATAAACCCTTCCTGGTCGTCCAGCCTCCCTTTCTTCCTTCTCTTCTCTTTCCAACAGGTCTGACCAGTTTTGAAGACCATCCCTGCCCCCTGGGACACTGGTGCCCGGGTAGAGGGGATGTTTTCCTTTGTCCACCTGGCACTTCCAGGATCCAGCCTGGGGCAACATCGTTGGAAGAGTGTGATTCCTGCTCCCCCGGATATTACTGCCCAGATCCAGCACAGACAGGGCTGCCGAACACCCAAGGAGTGCCTTGTAAACCTGGCTATGAATGCCCACCAGGTGACGTGACCGTGTTCATTTGTTTGCTTTATATCCAGCCATCTCCGAATCGAGATGGCTGTACAGTACAGTGCAGAGCAGGCTCAGCCGTAGCATTTAGCGACGACTGTAGCCCTGCTCTTGCAGCAGCCCATCTAGAAAACAGTCATTGCAGGAGTGGCTTTAGGGGTGGATTTAGCCCTCTGAAACCTTTTCCTGGCTTTTGGCCCTTAAATTGCCATCTCCCTGCCCTGCCTGCCTGTTCTAACTCAACTGAGATTCCTAAAGGAAGTGGTCTGGGCTTAGGAAAGGAGCAGGAATCTTTACCGTCCAGGCGTGAGTGTTCAGCTGACAGCATTTCATGCGAAACAGCAAGTTGCTTCCAAGTGGATCTGGGTCTTTTTGTGGGCAGTAAATAAGATGGAGCGCGTAGGGACGATAGCACCTCAAAAAGCCCCTTCGCGTGCTCTCTCTCCCAACAGGTGCTTTTCTGTTCTGGAAATGTCACGTAATCAATCACTGGTTCCGCTTTTTCCACCAGGTTCAGTAAATCCGATCCCGTGCAGGCCCGGCTCATACTGTGGTGCTCGCACAGCCGTGCCTTCCCTGTGCCCAGGTGGCTATTACTGTCCTGAAGGATCGTCGACATACCGTAGCCCTGAGCAGCTGTGAGTACCTGGCATGCCTGGCGGAAAGAGCCTTAAGTTTCTGAAAACTCTGAATATTGTGAAATCTGCCTGTGATAAAACCTGAGTTACCGCTTCAGCCACAGTCTTTGTGCATCTTGTAAATGCAGAGGTATCTTCCATCGTCACGGTTACAGATTTGGTGACTGCTAAGACTGAATAGAATGACTTGATTTATACTAGTTAGCCTGAACCATTTTAGTTTTGCACTGAATTAGCTGTTGGCTTTTTATGTTAGGGAATGTATTTATATTAGGAAGTGTGTCTGTACTTGGAAGCGTATGCTGGGAAGGCGTTAAGTAGGTGTCTGTTTTCACAAATGGCACCAGCGTACACATACAAAACAGAATTTTTGCGTGTGCCAGGAAACCTTAATCAGGAGCTGTGGCCTAGAGAAGACTTTAAGCTTTCTTGCAAGTTTTGCCTTTCAAATTCCGTCTCGTGAGTTCGTTCTGAAGTCGTGCAGCGTAGTGGTTGTTTCCAGTACTGTATCACCAGAGCAGCTCGAGATCTTTCTGAAGTTATTTGTGCAAAACCCCATGTTCCAGGTTGTAGACGTTTTTTCCAGCTCACTGGCAGATAATAAATAATAATAGTAGACCTAACCAAACGTTCTTCCCAGCCTGGCAGGGGCAACTCGGAACATTTGCGAAGAATTTTCTCCCCTCTCCCTGCCTTCTTTCTCCTTGCAGGTGTGTGTTTCCCTACTACTGTCCCCCAGGCAGTGCCCGTCCTTTGCTCTGTGAAGGAGGATACATGGCACTCAGTTTGCCCGGTCCAAGGGATTCCTTTGAGAAGTTCTGCAGGATCTGTGACGCAGGCACCTATCGCAGTGACTCTCTCATCACAGCAGCATGTCAGCCCTGCCCAGCAGGCTTCATCTGCCCACAGGGTAAATGGGGCTGTAGTGGAGGAGCAGGCAAGAAACAGCAGCTTAAATTGCAACCAAAAAGTTTTAGGTTAGCCGCGGGCAAAGCTCTCTAGCTCCTAGGGTAATAAATCCCCGGTGTGGGTTGTCACGTGAGTTTGTGGAGCATTTGTCATGGTAGATGGTTATGAGAGAGTAGAGAAATATGTCAAGGATCGTTTGAGTCTTGGTATGCTTTCTCGCAGGGGGTGACCTGCCAGACCCCTGCGTGCCCTGTTTTCTCTGATTCTGTGACTTACCTGTGAGGTCAGGGGTTAGTATGTTACCAGAGAGACAGCCGTGAGCTTAAGTGTTTAAAGCCTGCTGGGTGACAGGCAGTGCTGCAGGGGTCCTGCTGGATTAGGGCACAGGAGGGATAGCTTTTCAAGCACTTGAAGGTCCCTGTTGGCCAGGACGCTCTGTTAGGTTCACTGAGGTGCTCGTTCCTGCTGTACTGCAAGGAGGTCATGTCTACCTGCAGTGCCCGCTGGATCTGTCCAGTCAAATAAATGGAATAAATAGATTAACATTTAAATTTAAATATGTATGAACTAAATAGGAACATTCTGAAGTTCAATTAATTTCATACGTACAGACGTGTGTGTGTGTGTATAGGTGTTTGTGTTTACATATGTAACTGGAAAAAATAAGTGAGGCCTACCTATCTCTATCACTTGCCCTAGTTAGTCGTTCAGCAGTGTCTGTGCCTGAGATAGCCCCGTCACTTTCTCTAGGCAGTAAGAGTTACCACCAGCAGCCTTGCCCCAGAGGCTATTACTGCCCTCCCCTGGTGCCTGCCCCTCTGCCCTGTCCGCCTGGGACCCATGGGAGCAGCAACTTTGCGAAGCGTATAGAGGAGTGCCAGGCCTGTCCTGCCGGCTCCTTCAATCACCTTCCGGCTCAGCCTGCATGTTTCCCCTGCGGCAGCTCGTCTTCCTCTCGGCCCGGTGAGTTGCTGTTTGTGAGTGAAACTTTCAGCTCTGTTAAGAGGAAGACCGAAAAGGGAAACACCTACAAATGCGATTCCCCCGCATTGTTTCCCAACGGACTGCAAGCTGTGGGATGTTTGTGGTTGTGTGTGTGCTGCCTGCGCCTAGCTGAGCTTCCTTTGTACCCCCTGGAAGGAGGAGGATGCGATTTTCCAAGCTGTCTTCTGATCTCTTATGCTCTGTTAGCCAAGGGGATTTGGTCTTATCTCCTAGATGAGCAGCCCTATTTATTCTTGCTTGATCATTGCTTTGTAAGCAGTGGAGTTTCACAAAGAGTACTCTTGCCCTGAATTGCAGAGCTTGCAGGAAGCGTAGTTGAGATTTTGGGCCAAAATTGGGCACTGTAACCACGTCCAGCTGCGGCCATGATAAAGTAGGACAAGTCTGGAAGGGGGGACAGCCGAGTGCAGTAGAAAGTGCACGTTCCTTGCTCCATGCCCCGTACTCAGAGGGCAAATCGAGTGGATCTGAGAGCGGTGAGACACAGAGCCACTGCAGAGGTGTTTGGCAGCCTTGATCGACTGGGTTCTGTCCTGTCTCGAGTGGCTCAGTAAGCAAAGCAATAGAGGGCTTGTCAAACTGCCACTGCCTCAGATGCCCCGCTGGCTCTTTCTATGTCTCTTGTTAAACGGACACTTCAGGAAATGGTCTAACGATTGTGTTGACAGAGCAAAAGGCAAGCTAGTTTTGGTTGGCACTCCTGCTGTACCAGCCCTGCAGTGCCAGCGGGGCTGCAAACTCCAGCTGGGTCACTGAAGTGAGCAACGTGATTTGGCTAGAGAGTATTCAGCATGGGAACAACTCCTTTTCTGTGAGCACGGTTTCTGCGAACTATATTCCCTATCCCAATTTCCTCTCTAAATCCAAGCTATTCTGTAAGGTGCTGCCAGCTGTACCTGCCATGGGCTGAACCGGGCTTTCCAGCAGTCAGATGCCTCTTGTATCTGCCAAGCAGGTTATGTTTACTATGATGAGAGAGGCAAGAAAAACCCTGACAGCAACAGTGATCAGGACTGCCAGCCTCAGGTAAGACTTGGCTTCAGAACAAAGCTGTTGCGTGACGTGTGGGAGAGGAAGAGTTGTTCGTTGCTTTAGGCAGCTTTAGGTACTGTCTCAGGGAATGTGGGTGCGTGCGCTCTGAGCTGGGTTCACTGGGCTGCTGCGGACGTAAGTCCTTCAGCTGCTTTGTCTGAGACCTTTGACCCTTTTAGGGTAACGGCCGTTCTCTGCTTTACCAGAATCTTGTGAGGCTAAGTCTGTTTGGGGCTGGAGGCAAAAGGTGTTTGCCTTCTAGAGTAGTGGGGAGCAGCTAAGTATCTCGGAGAGATGACAGCTGCAGGAACGTAAGTCTCGACGTTGTCATTATGGTGTTTTTAATTAGAGCTGTTGAGGGAGATTTGGTGAGAAGTGAAGTTGTAATCTTTCCAAGTCTTTTAATGGCCGCCTTGTATTGTCTTTGTGTTGAATGTCAGCAGTGGGAGGGGGAGAGAGTTCTAGGGATGCTGCGTTTCTGTTGAGATGCTAGAGCTTATCTGGTTTCACGCATCTAGGTGAGTGGTGTTGTTCCAGGTGGATGAGCTCTGTGCTCCTGGAGAGGTCCGCCTAGCGTCTACGCGTCAGTGTGTTTTTCCTGAGCAGTATGACTGCTCTACTTCTTGTGGACCTGCAGGCGGAGAGATTAACGCAGAGCTGGGCATGTAAGTCTCAGTCCAACCTCTAATTAAGAAACATTTCATAATTAGGTCTGCCTGACTGAGTTACTAATCCCATGAGGTCATGCCAGGACAGGGCAGGGCTTGCAGGAGGTAATTCCGAGCAACCTTCCCGTTGCTGGAGTTCCTCTGTTTGGAGATACTGGCCTTCAGTCTTCGTTCGTGCACCTCGCTCCTCTCCCTGGAGAGTGGGCCTGTATTTCCAAAATGACTTAGTGGTTTTGGATGACTGCATGGAGACGCCTGAAAGAACACCAATTGAGAAGGTTAGGGTGGACGATGCTCACAGTTTTTGAGGTAGGCCTTTTGCAGGTATCTCAGGTGCCCCACCACCCCCAACAGATGATCACTTTGTTGTATTTAGGCAGAATTTGAGGAAATTGTTCCTCACCCACCCTTTCGATGGTGACGTGAAATGTTGAAGCTAGTTCTTGTCATACAGTACTACTTTTTTCTCTTTGTGAATGAATTTGTCTTGCGCGATCTCCTCCTGACGTGGAATAGAAACAATTGCGCAGCAATCTATTTCATTACAACTGTGCGTTCTGTTGCTTTCAACCCTTTTCTTAAAGCAGAACTTTTGGGAGGTACGTACGCCCCCAGATACGGGACTGAAGCTGATCTCTGTTAGGGACTGACAGAAACCTATTACAGAGGTTTGAATGTTACATTTTGGCCAACTATATAGGGTCCTTATGCTGATTAAGAAGCGTTGAATACCAGGCAGAATGCTGGATGAGATGGACTGTGAGTTTGGTGTGTCTCTCTCTCTATTCTATGAATATAGAGCAGGCCCGCCCACTGTGTAGGTTATAAGAAACCAGGGTTAGCCTGACCAGCGGTATCTTGTAGCTGTTGGCTCAGGGGTCATAAGTAATCGAGACCTGTTCTGTCCTTAATAAAGATGTCACTGCAAACACTATGTCTCTGCTGAGGAGCTCTGTGACCAAGCATGTTTGCTGAGAGCCCCGCAGATCTCCTTGAGATTTGGCATCAATAGAGAGCTGCTTCTGAGGATGGATGAAGGAGAAGAGAGGGTAAGTAATGGAGTTGGGGACTGCTCTCTGCACGTGAGCCTGGAGAGAGCCCTTAAAGATTACAGTGAGGTGGGGGGACTTCAGAGGGTTGAGGTCAAGTTGTGAGCAGGGTACCGAGGGTACCAAGTTGTGAGCAGAGAGGGAGGAGGAAGGGAGGCTCAGTACATCTCGTGACCTAGAGTTTTGATTGGGCCAGAGGTTGGTGCGTTACTGAGAAATGACAGCCCCTTAGTGGTGGGAGAAAACCTCACTAGAGCAGTCTTGCACAGCTTAATTAAAGATAGAAATGGGGCAGGTCACAAACCAGGGTCTGTGTCACGGTTGATCGTATCGGTTTTCCCCTCCGTTTTTAATAGGAAGTGACAAACGTTCTGGGCCCAGACGAACATGTCCATGAGAGCCAGCAGGTGCGTTTGGTTCTGTTCAGTCCCAGTGGGGTGCTAGGTTTCATTGTTTCCAGCACAGATGTTCTGGATGCATTTCTCACAGGTAAGTCTCGAGAGCCCTTGCAGGTTAACCCAAGTCCCAGCCAGACTAAGCTATTCATTTTCTTTCAGCAAGTTCGCGCAGAGGGTGTCTCTTGTCAGGCACTGCAAACGACTTACAAAATTTCGTTTTTATCTGGGAGTAACCAATGGGAACTTGCACTGGCTGCACATTTAGCTCCCTGGGAAGTGGTCAGAGGAAGATTGTAGGGTGATGTTGGTCTTCCAAGGAATTAAGAGAACACTCCCTTTGCAGACAGGTCTGCTTGGAGGGTGCATGCTCAGTGGCATGCCTCTTGATTCCAATTGTTCCTGATTTATGGTAGTCTCGGTGAGAGCAGAATTTGGCCTTGTGATCTGTAATCACCCACAGGGACAAAAGAAATGGTTCTGCATTGCTAAGGGTTAGTTATTTTTTCCCATGCTGCTCATGTAGCAGAATTCATTCTGTGTTCTTCTGTTGCCCGTGGCAGGAGATCTTGCATCAGACACCTTTCTGCAGAAAGGTCATCGAGGCCGGAAGGCTTCCTCCAGAGGTATTGCTGCCTTGCCCCTTGTCCCCAACCCAATAGTGTGTTTGGAAACAGGAGACGCCGTCCTTTTCCAGCTTAGCATCAATCCCCACAGTAAGTGTTGTCGTTAGGGTCTGCGTGCTCTTTGCAGATGCACGTGTATCCAGACCCGTTTAGAGCTGTGGCTCTGCGCTTGATAGTACTGCATGTCTGAGCACACTCTTTCACCTCCATGGCTCTCTTGCCTTCAGGGGACTCCTGATCTTTAGTCCAGGCTCTGCCAGTGGCTCATCTGGTGTTTTTATTTTTGACTGAGTTTCCGTAGAGTAGAGATAAAATGCTTCCTGTGTTAGATGAGCGTAAGCCTTTGTTGGGCAATGGCACGCACTTCGCTTAAACGTCTTGGCGCTACGTGTCCCCATAGAACCAATACAGTCACGTAGCACTTTGCCGGACCGGTGTTAGCTCTCCTAACTGAAGCGACTCGGAGTTGCTGACGCTGTGCTGAACTGTTCCCAGATCGTGCATCCAGCCATTACCCTGTTTATCAGAAGCTGCATCTTTATAACAGCAACCCAGGCTGGGATTTTGGGCCCTTCCGAAGGCTAGACCACCTCGTCCGAGAGACTCACCTCAACATCTCCTGGTAACATCTGATGTGACTAACGGTGCATATGTTAGGGGCAGGACTTGAGTATGGGTCTCTTGGGGTCCTTGGCAGTCAGCAGCATGTGAAAATGCAGAATGAAGTTGGGTATGTTCAAGTGCTTGTGTTTAGCCATCATCACTGCTGTAAGTTAAAGGATCCTTAGGGCAACCAGTGTCTTTCCTGCTTCTTCCTTTTAGGTTTGCCCATGTTTTCCTGGATTCTGGGACGTATGTTTTCAGGGACAGGACCATTCAGGAACACTTCCTGATTGTGACTGTGAATGAGGCTCACGTGGGCTGTGACCCCAGAGGTGTGTCGTTCCAGCCCTCTTCTCCGTTCCAGCTGGCCAGGCATGGGGTCCTGAAGCATCAGGAGCTGAACTTAGCTCCGAACTGGGCTGCTATCGCAGGTATAGCTAAAACACTGGCCGCTGTGACACCGGACAGCCTGATGCCTAGCCCTGACCTTCCTTGTACCTGCTTGGGTGTGTTTAAACAAGCATCTCTTTGGAAATGCCATCAAACCGCTGGCTTTGTCAGTTTTAATCCCCTTCACCTGTGGAGTTCCCCTTCCCTAAGTTCACTGTTCTCTAGCCAAGAACCTGCCTGTGGTAGGAACTGAAGGAAAAAGACAGGGAAGTAGCGGTTGTGTTTCTCCCCCCACCCTGCCTGAAGAATTCAGGTAATTGAGGGCTTTGTTCCCCTAGGCATGAAAGCAGAAAGTGTTACTGTGTTTCCGTGATAAACAAAACTGACATAGCATGCATCATTTAAAAGTTCACTGAAAGTTTAAACAGAAGGGCAGCTAAGGTCTTACCCCAGAGCATACCTCTGCGTAAGCGCTGTGCACATACCAGCCCCTTGTCCCTTAGTGAGACGACAGCAAAGCAATAGAAATCAAAGCATGGCTTGCAAATAAGAGGGTTCTGTCACCTTCAGCTACCCGTGCTGAAAACATCTTGCCTCCTTACCCGCCATGCATCAGATCAGCGAGGGAAGGAGTAGAAGTCCGTATAGGAAAGATGAAAACAGCTACATGTTAGTTTCAGGTGGGAGGGACAGTGTTCAGTGAAGTTTAAATGGACGCACTGCTGCTGATACACACTGTCTCCTGTGTTTCTCGCTTCTTGCCGTTCCTCTTGGCTTTCCCAGTGGTACTCCTTGTTTTGGGCTTCCTAATTGTGGCATTCACAACCCTGGCTATTGTGCTCCAGTCCCCTGATCCCACCCTTAGCCCCCTGAAGAGCTGGAAGCCGCGATGGAGGAGCCTGGGAGAGCCACACGTCCCACCGGAATACGTGTTAGTTAAAGACAGGTAAGCTCCCTCTGCGTGGTCGACCATCAGGAGCTCAGGCCACGCCAGTACGAAGGCCTGCAGAGCAGGAGCAGTGAAGGAAGTGGGACTCCTCTGCGTGTCCTACTGCAGTTACTGAGCCTCCCAGTCCCTGGTGCTGGACTCCTCTCCAGCACTATGGTAGGTTGAGTTTCCATCTGCGCAGCAAGCCGCTTGGTTTTCCTCATGGGTTCCCCTATGTTATTCTGGTTCTTTTCTGATACAGGGCATGACACCTCTATTGTATCCTCTGCACAGAGCCATTATCTCCCTACTGTTGCCCGAATCACCTGGCCTGGGCTTCCCCTTCACCTCTTGGCTACAAAATCTAGAGAAGAAACATATCCTTGCGCTTGACCTAGGCTGGAGATGTTGTAGTGTGTGATTGTACTAGGCAGAACGAGCCTGTCAAATGCAGGGACGTTCTTCACCCTCTCTGTCATCCCTCCCTAGCCTTCAGTTCTGTCCCGTGCTTGGTCCACGTGGTTCTGGAGAAGGTGCAGGCCTTGGCGAGAAAGGAGCTGCCCGGAATGCAGGTGAAGTGCTGTGCCAATCCCTAGGCTTTGTCCTGTTAGTTTCGTCACGCTTACGCCCCATTCTGTTCTCTTTTCCCTTCCTCTCTGGTCTAATACTTTGATACCTGCTCACCTAGAAATTCATGCACACACAGATCTTTGTGATCACGCTGGCACTTGGGCTGCTACCCACTCACGCACGCTCTTACACACGTTTACGTACACAGGCGTTTCTATTTAATACTCATTTGCCTAATCTTTTCAGTTGGGAGCGCTAACCTCCTGCCACTGGAATGGGTTAGTGATTCCTTCCCTGGCGAGTAGGAGGGTAGGTGGCGAGCCCTGAAAAGTCGTTTGAACAGTAGAGAGCTGTTCTTCATATGACCGGTGAAGAAAATGAAGATCTTTAAAGGTAATGCCCTGAGGTCTCCTGTTGGTCTTTGTAGTCTCTGTACGCTCATGACTCATGAGCCTTTCTTGCCTTCTGGGGATGACCTCATCTTGGAGATTTCCAGGTGTTCACAGAGCGCAGCAAGTCCGGAGTCCAGTAGGTGGCACCATCTACTGATGCTGGAAACAGTTTACCAAGACACTGCCCCTCAAAGCTGGAAAGCTAGTGGAGAGAAGTAGGACCCTGACAGGTTGCAGATCGAGTTAGGAGTTGATAGTAACGCTCCATCTTCCTCTGGTTCCTTAGTAGGGAAGTCTTATCACCTTTTCTCCTGTCTCTTATTTATCTGTTTTCCTTCTTCACAATACAGAAAATGCTGTTGCCCCCCCCATGCATAGCTGGTGGGAAATAAATTAGTTTGGATGTGGCGGCATGGGGTGAGGCATGATACTTACCTTGTGTTTCAGAAGAGCATTTTGCGCTGAGAGATCTGGAGGATTTCAGCGTTCGCACCATGTATGATAAGCTAGAAGACCAGAATTTACACCTAGCCTCTCAGCTGGCAAAGCACAGGATGGATGTGTTGGTGTTTTACAAAGGAGTCAGCCAGCAGCTTCGAGGTCTCATGGTCAGTGTGAAGAAACAACCAAGGGAGGGGAGTCTCAGAACGATGAAACTTATGAGATACACAGTCTCCCACCCCCCACCCCCACCCCAAGGTGGGGCTTTACTGAGGAATAGGTCTTACTTTTAGTATTTAAAGTAAATATGTTCTCTGCTGTACCCTATTTTGGCAAAAATTGGTTATGGTAATTTCTGTTTTGATATGTGATGCAGAAGATGGAAGGGGTGGGCTGTGAGGCTTGCAGAGCATAATACTGCTGCTCTCTGCTGTAAACAGGATATGGTGCAAGCACTGGATTCTGAAGGCCTGAATAACTTTGCCAGGCAAAGAGTTTGTGGACACAGAACTTCAGACAGCCTGGGCGCTGAAAAACGTGATGACTCTAGCAACAACTTTCAAGCAGTAATGCACACAGGTGAGAGAACCGGGGTGCAGAGCAGGAGAGAAACGAGTGTAAGGGGTGTCAGCAGTACGGTTTAAAAAGGCACGGGTCGTACAGATGAGAAGAGATCCCACAAGATCATGATCAAGTCCTGTAATTCCGTAGGACTTGATTGAACTCACTGCCTTCAAGTGAGCTCAGTGATGAGACAGCTCTGTCAAATTAGATATGGGTAAGCACGGGGCTGCTCGGGAGTGTTATAGCACCATCCTAAATTTACAGAAAAGCCTAACGAGTTCATTATTGGCCGGTCATCTCTGGAGGCATCTTGGAGCCACCTTGTGGAATTCCCAAAGAAGGGTTCCTGCTCTTGATTCTGCTCTGGAGATAATTACAGTTCTTCAAATGGTTCTATAAAACTACATTTGAACTGCTTGTGGGGTTCATTAGGTGCTCAGTGGCAAGAGGCTACAGAGTTAATGAAAGCATTGAAATTCCTGCTTGGGAGAGCTCAGCCTAAGAACGCAACTGTGAAACGAGAGATGGAGGAGCAGGTCCCAGGACAGGATGTGGTGGCGGGGTCCACGCGAACGAGTGAAGGAAAAGCAGAAGTGATGGATGGGCAGGTGAGTTGCAGGTGTCATTCATTAGGCCATCTCTCACGTTCTTGCCGTTTTTTTCCACGTGTGTCGGTTCCTTTAACTCTTGGGGCCTGTTTATCCCGCAGGATCCTGACCTGCCTCCACAGTGTGAGCTCTGCAGTAGGAAACCTACTTTTTTTAGCTTCCCTGGGCACGAAGAGACTGGTAAGGATGGTAATTTAATTATGGGTGGCATGGATACTCTCCAGAAACCACAGCAGAAGACTGACTCGGTGAAGCTTAGGTTAAGAGAGAATCGTATGTTTGCAGACAGAGTAAGCATGTAATTGCTTCTTATATGCATTTTTTTTTGCTGAGGTGGACAACTGAACATTCCCCAGCTCGAGAAATTTGCTTCTGCCACCTCCACCCCTTTATAAGGGGGGAGTCACAGAGCTTTGGTCTCCATAGCCCCTTTACACCTATATATTAAGCAGCCACCTGTGGAGAAGAGATTGAATGTCTCTACCCTAATTAAACGCTAATATGAGGAGGCCAGGAAAATCCTGCACCGTCAGTTCTGTAACCCTCGCAGCCCCTGGATAGGCGTTCTCTCTGTTCGGTACAGCTTTTCTTGTGGCAGCGTGTTTGTGGTGGTCATCCAGCCACAGAGAGCTGCCTCTTCCTCTAGGCGTAAGAGCGCCTCCTTACATCTGTTTTCACCAGGCTTAGATCCCCAGCTGGCTTGTCTGTCTGAGTTGGAGGTGGAGGGCTTGATAGCAGCTTCCCCCCTTGCCAAGACTCTATGTGAGATCAAGCAAGCTTTGGTGAAGCTGCAGCAGCCTTCAGACCTCATTACTGCAGGTAACAAAGCTTAGTCTGTCTTGCGGCTCCTGCTGCCCCATAAAGGGATAAGATCCAGGATTACAAGACTAGGTAGAGAGAGGAAATCTGTCATCCTCAGTGCATTGGTACAACGTACTTAAAAATAATGATCTGCAGCTGAGTTGCAAGTCCTTCAAAAAAGGAGTCATCAGGAGGTTGATATTACTGCAGACTGAAGTGCTTGACTAAGTCACACGCGTAGACTGTGAAAAGGCAGGCTTGTCTGGCAGCGGGCATCAGAGAGCTTTGAATCCTCAAGCAGGGAGTGGAGGAGGATGTACAAGGTGGCAGGCCGGGTTTCCTCTGCCAGGCTTTTCAAAGGACTCGGAAGTTGTTAATGGCATATTTAGGGTGCTGTGCTACTGGCTCACTTTCCAACAGTTTTATGATGGAAAGGAAACTTTGTGACTTTGGAGCCTTTCACAGAATCGGCAGCCCAGGGCATGGCACAGGGCTGTTGCGCGGTAGAACTTAGGCAGACTGCAGGGAAGGAGTGAGTAGGAGGTGGCAGGCAGCTGTCAGGTGCAAGAGGGTGGGATGGGGCATTCAGCTGGGGTTATTTAGCTAAATGGCTGTTGTCTTCCTTTTCAGAGAAATGTTTAAGTGACAGTTCCTCAGAAAATACCGGAAGTACCCTGGTCCCCACAGATCTGGCCAGTTTGTCCCCTTACCAGTTTATAGTGTACCGCTTTGGCTGTGCAGTGCTTCGCCTGTTAATCAGGACCTATTCGTGCCCAGCTCTGGTACTTAAGCTGGCTCGGTCGGTTCCTGCCCGAAGTCCAGATCAAGATGTTCTCCCAGTCCTTAGAGACTCTCACTATGACGCCATCAACAGGTACCTGTATATACGTGCAACAAGGCTGGAGGATGCCGGGGAATTTATTGCCATCTTGCTGAGCGCTGTGGCGTGGATCAAAGCAGGTATGGCTGTGATGAGTGTGTCCCCCATGGGAACAGTAATGCTGCTCTTCACACTGACTCAGATCTTGCGTTGAGATGGTCCAATCACCTTACTCTTTTTTGAGCTTTGCAAAGCAGCTGTTGCTTAGGCAAAATAAGGTTTACTTCACTATCTCGACTGATCAGTATTGCTCTACATGAGGTGACAGGCTGCTTTTCAGGTGTTGCCATCCTTTTCTCTCCTTCATCGTAAGCCCAGGCACAGGAGCAGAGACAATTGCTCTAAAAACCTAGGTTTTCCCTCTAGGCGTACTGTTCCTAAAATGGACGAGATTTCACGCGTTCCGTGAGAGCTCGGTTTCCCCTTGTGTCGTGGCTAAGGTGCCGCCTTGTATTTGTTACTGTACAAATACATGAAGAAGGGTTGCCCCTGTAATCTTAACCCTTAAAACAGATAACAGATCTTAACACTTGATGGCAACGCATATGACTGGTTCCTCTTTTGCTTTTCTTTAGGCTCTGCCTCAAGAGGTATTGTTCATTCCTTCTTTCTGACGGAACTTAATGGAGCTGTTGTGGTTCTGGCCAATGCTTCTTTCCAGCATTTGTGGGAGGCAGCAGAGAAGGTAAATGCAGTGACTTCCTTTAACAGCAGTGACCATTTAGCCTGCAAATCAGGAAGCCGGGAGGTGGGAACAGCATGAAATGATACGGCTTGTTGGAAAATTGGGAAATTTCCTGGCCCAGTCTGAGCGTGGTTTGTGGCTTTCTTTAAAATTCTTAGTATATGGCTGATTTTCTATGCAGTCAGCGCTTTCGATTTCTGCGAAGTATCCCTTTTTGATACGCAAGAGAGAAGCGTAAGAAAGAGAGTCCTTGTTAACTGAGAGTGGCATTTCATGAATAGGTGTCATGGGGCAAATTATTTTCTCCAGTGTGTTAGATGAATCTGTACTACGTATCTTGCTCCAATTCTACATCTAGCGTACCTATAGCTGTTAAGGTTGAATAGAGATTCATAATGTGAAGCAAGGAATGGAAACGTTAAGTGTACAGAATTTAAGTAATTCCCCCTTCAGATGGGGACCGTCTGCACTGCTTGTGAACTGGAATCTTGCACAGTTAAGAGTTTAAGATCTGTGCCTACAGCTGCATCTCAGCTTGGCAGGGTAGAGGATGACCAAATTCTTTGTTGGGAAGTAGCCAGTTTTTATCAGTTCTACTTGTTAATTTCCTTGCAAAACTTTGCAGGTAATAGCTGGGGTAAAATCATCCCTGGAATTGTGATGCTCCGTGCGTTCTCTTTTTTCTGTCTCTGACTTCAGGATCCATCAGGAGGCAGCTTATCCGCTCATTTTGACCCCCAGACAATGCTCGAAGAACTTCTGAGCATCAGAGTGTCACCATATCCCTACGTCAAGGAGAAAGCCCTGGGTGAGAGGTACGGAGAAAACACGTTACTACCTGTGGAATAAAAGCATGCACTTTTGATGTACAAGGAATTTTTTTTGTCTGCCCGGACAGTGCACGTGTTACTCTTCCGTCTTGGGTTACAATACTTAGTTTCTATCAAAGTTTGTGCTGCTTGGGCGTTCCGGTCTCTCTGCTCCTGAACTCTTGTAAGGAATCTAGAATCAGCTTTGTTGTAGTGACACAGATGTGGTCTATTCATCTGGCTCTTCCTGTGTTTTAAGCTTTCGGCAAGTCCTTGACTTGTGCCTCGCTTTCCTTTTTGCAAGCCTATCTGCTACCTATTTTAAATCAGGACCCATAAGGTTTAATTGATTAATGATTATAAACAACTCTACTTAACTGATTGAGTCAAAAGAGATTGCAAGCAAGAGGAAGGCTGCCTCAGTCACCTTTTCATCACTCTGCCAGGGGATGTTTTCTGAGCTGAATAGACTTCAGGATTTCTGGACTGATGCTGTGAATGTAAGAAGCGTTAGCGAGACAGTGGTGTAACAACTTCCTTTGCGAGTGAGTCTTTCACCGTAAACACAAAAGACCGCTATTCCTCTGAACAGTCAGACGTTACAGTAATAATGGAATTTAGTTTTTAAACTTTTCGTTTAATAGAAGGAGTCATATGCCCCTAGAAAAACATAAAAATATTTTGTGGAAATGTTTTTTATATGTTCTAATACAGACCTGTTTGTCTTCTGCCGCCAAACTATTAATGCAGCTGACACCTATAATCTTTCATATGATGTGTTCAGTTCTGATCAGTCACTTGAAAAAATACCTGTTGGAAATGTTCTTCAGACATGTGGCTGAGGCAGAGAAATTTCTTTTGGGAACCTAGCAGACTTGCTTTGAAGTATAGGATTGGGCAGTTCACACCATCATCCTGCTCTTCCTTTGTGCTGAAGAGAAGTAAATAAAACATAGGCTGTTTTCAAGACTAGGACTAGTGTCTGTTCCTCTCCCAATTTGGGTGTTTAGATTGCAGCAGTACCGATGCCTTCAGCTGCCTCTGGAGTCTGAGAATAGGATGGAAAATTCACAGAAAAGAGAAGACAGTCGGAGTGTAGGCTCCTCTGATTTTAAGGTCAGTCATTCATTTTAGCAGTTCTTCTCTTATGATCTTCCATCAACCTCTCTTGACCCTATCCCTGGTTTTTTGAGCGCACAGGAGAAAAAGTACTCTTTACTGTTTAAGAAGTTGGGTTCCTCCCCCCCC